TTGGTTATTGCAAGTGGCTATTGTTCGGGACGAACAATACTAAGGAGGGGGCAGCGTTGCGTCAGCGAGGTCACGTGACTAGTATCACGCCACTTCTTTCTTGAACCTTCCTAGATTGGGGGGGGGGTAGTCTGGTATATATAAGATAGCGTTTGCTTTAGCGCGAATGTTGAAATTAAGTGTATCGTAAAGTTATATTCAGAAAGAATAAACCAGTTTTATTAAGTAAGGACTTGTGTCGCTAAAGTTTCGTCGGGGAAAATTAATCAACAAACGGAGACACACACATATTAAGCCTAATTGAACAGTGCAAGACAAAAGATATCACTAAGCTCTAAAATAGAAATCTTAACCTAACAATAATTATAATAACGAAAATGAAAAAACGGGAATTTATAAAATAAGTGTGTATGAACAATAACCTATGTTTAAGAAGTGATGTATGGAAGAAAAATAATATAGTTACGAATGATTGATATCCCAGTCAGATGAATTACAGGTAATCCTAAAATAACAAAGATCCCTGTATCAGTGGTACAGGAGAAAGGATACAACTTAGCCTAATTTCTAACCTGAACTATAACAGTATAACATCTTATTTTTCCCAAGTCTGTGGACTGTATATCAAAATATGTGGGTCTCCAAACTCGAGAAGAGGCCCAACAAATATCTGCTCTTTGGATAACAATCTCCAGATGAAGTAAAGCTAAAAATCTTCCCGCAGAGTACCATGACCTGAAGCTAGTGTAAATGTGCAAATAGAACATATAACCTCTTGAAGTAGTAACGTAAAATTCATAATACAAAATGAATAACCAAACACGGAAACATAGAAAAAGTTTTCATAATGAAGTAATAAGTTCCGTAATCGGTTAGAAATATAAAATAATTTCACTTCAGAATACCTCAACAAGTTACAAATATCACTATTGTATAATAAAAGAGTAAACTTATTGAAAGACATTAATACAAAGATACAGAAAAAATTTGAAATAAAACACTTAAAGAGAGCACAAACTAAATATTGGAACATGAGTACTGCCAAACGAGAAGTGATAGTTCAGCAAAACTGAACAGAGGAAGTCACATGCATCAAGAAAGTATGTTGCACTGTTATTGGTGGAGGGTTGTCGCATGATGATTTTCCTACGAGATGCATTGGAATCAGTCAATTCCAGATGTGAGAGGTTCAAGGCTTGTGGCATGTACAAAAAAGGTTTTTTGCATATAGGGGACAGCACTGAACGAGAATTGCTACTTATGTGAGAAGAGATAATGTACCATATCGGAAATTTAAAATCTGTCTATTGTAATATCATAGTTTTCTGGTCTGTATTTCAGTAATCAATAGGGTAGGTATATCTGGAATTGTCTGACAGTTCTACAACAATGAACTTATACTTGACATTCAATAATGTTCACTATCCATGAGAAAAGGGATTTTATTGAAATCTTTGTCTAAAAATGAGCTATCATCACAGCATTACATCATAGAGTAGATTTTATTGAAGTATTTCTTTGTAGACACAGTTATCAATAAAGTGCCTTGCTTTTCTGTAGCAACACTCATGAGATTTTCAGTAAAGAAAAACATATATATTTTTTTTAAGTTTGTTTTTTGATTGTTTTATATTTGAAACTTACTCCTTTTTGTTTTAATTTTTGTTGGTTAAATCTGAAACATATCATTTTTGTGGAAATTTCAATTGTTTTATTTATTGCTCAGCTACAAAAATACTGCCTAGTTATAAAAATATTACCCAGTTATGATTGGTGATGATCGGTGTGGTAGTTTCCGAGATCAGAGTTTTGGACGAATACATCGCAAACTCCATTATAATAAGATAAGTTAAGAAAATATTTTTATTTTTACAAAGTAGTTGCTTCATTATTAGTTTTACATAGGCAAGTACATCAAAACTAAATTCTTAAGAAAAATATTTAGTTGAATAGAATTTCACATTGTTTCTTTGGTATTTTTCGGAAACACAAACACCACAGGAATAAAACTTGTAAAGAGCTTCTGCAGTCTTCTTAAGACAATGTATTGGTCTCTATGAAGAAAGCTTCAGCACAGAACCAAAATGTAACCAAACTCAAGAAAAAAGGGAGGTACCATACAGTCGGTAGACTCTTTATGTAGGAATGGCCAAGGTATTCAATAGGCATAATACAAATATGCATGCTAAATATCAACTAAATTCTTGTTTGCATTCTTTTGGCGTTGCTATACCTACATCATTTTACATTTATAAAATGTTTTTTATTATTTGTAGTCCATTACAAGTTACTTCCCTACAATTCCATGTTAATTACAATGAAAGATAAAAACAGACAAACTTCCATATGAAAGAATAAATTTCTGAACACAAGTCTTTATCCACATTTGTTTTTAAACCTTTACGTAGTCTTAAAATTTGGGAATGATCACTTTTTGAGTAAAATTAAACCAGGTATTTTGTTTTTTAAATAGAAACAAATACATTCTTATTTGTGTTATTTAAAAAAAATCTAGTTAACCACTTTTCTTTGGGTAAATGTATGATATTTTATAAAACTTATTTCTGAGATTGTGAAAGAGACTTCATCAGAAATTACACAGATGAAACACCAGATGCATTAACAAAATTCACATGCTCTAGTTTCTTGTCAAGTTAATTAGGTTCAAATCTTATTATTCAATATCTTTTTTACTTACATTAATTCACAAGTCCAATCAATACTTTAGTTTGGAGAATATGCTATTAAATTCACTTTATGACAAATTTGTAATAACTGAATTCTGAACAGTAGCTTATAAACTCTGACATTACCTGAGGTATTCATCAAGTGAATTCATCATTAGTCTTGTAGCATTTTTTTCTTTAGCCCCAAGACATGACATAAAAAGATGGGCATCATTGAAAGCTAAAATGTGGTCTTCCATGTGTGTACAACATACTTCATAAACTTCTCGCCATCTGTCCTTCACTTGGGCTCCTAGAAGTTTTTATGAATTTACAGTGATGTTAATTAGCATTGAAAAATACACATCATACTTTATACCTTACCAATAATAGGTAATGTATTCATTAAAAGTTAAAAAATGTACTTCAATTTTTTTTAAAACAATTAAACCCTATAAGACGGTACTGTTTTCAAAAGTACATGCATGATGGCTATCTCCTACAAATTGCTTCTAACTAACCTCACTTAGTATTAAATTCTCTTATTATTCAAAGATAATAGTGACTATAAGTCACTACCTAACACAATCCTTGGTTACACAGACTTCTTAGTTTTTCAAAAATAGGTTTAATGACCAACTAATGTATTCAAGACACAATTACATAGCTTTGAGGTAGAGAGTATAAACTGTTGTCCTTCTGTAGTACTTGGGTCTTCTACCAACTGTACCCACAAATTTACCAAAGCCAAAACCAGTACAATTCTTTTAAAAGCTAGGAAACTGACAATAATAATTTAAAATACCAAGACAAAGAACAAACTAACAGATAAACCTTGTTTTCTACTTAATATCACAGATATGCCTATAATAATACATACTTACACATATAGACTTATTCAACATTATTTTATCTCTTTATAGCAAATTTATAGTTAACTTTATGAAGAGCTGATTTATAAATTTTAAACAATTAGTAATGTTTGTAATAAAACCTTTATAACTGAATAGTTTTTATTTACCTTTAACTAATGTTAGGTTACAACAGCAAGGTCAAAACAATAGACAGATGTGACAAACATTGTTTTATACAGAGAGATAAATGTTTTGATCAGTTAACTTTGTTTTTGCAATAAACACTCAAATGCTCAGCTAAAAAGAGTTACTAAATGCTTATATAACATTATATTTATAATAATGTGATGCTGGAATTAAATAAAAAAAGTTCAACAACTTATTGTTGTTACCTTCAAGTTCCAAGCGATACAGCAGAGATGTAGCATCAATGCCTAGTGATCTTCCCAAAAGCATTCTTTTACCAACTTGTGCATCAAATATGTCTATTGCTGCCTCGAACTCTCCCTTGTATGAAAAAAAGTACATTTTGTCAAAAAAGCATTATCACAGTTATAAACTGTATATTTCAAAAATGTTTTGCACATCAGCCACAAGTTTTGATAATAAAATAATAAAAAGAGAAGAGCATACTTTTGTTTCCTTCATTAAACTACCAGTTTCTGAACATCTCAGAAATACTTTAACTGTTAAATGAGTTTAAGTTATAATTACAGATTTACAGGCAGCTTTAAGTCTTAGTAAAATCTGACTTAATTATTCATAATTATATCTCTTAAAATAATTAGTGCTGGCATTGGTCACTTTAGCTATAAGAAGTCTAATGCACTACAGTTTAGGTCATAAAGGAATTCTAACTGCTAATTACTAAACAATTTGTCCTTTTCCAAAGTAAAATGAGCCATAAAAGACAAAAGAGTAAAGGGCAAATGTATTGGAAAGTCTTGAGATGCTTTCTTGTAGTTTAATGCATACTTTTCAATGTCACTGCCCATTACACATAACTTTTTAAATTACTTCAACGAGCTTACATCCATGGCTTTAAACTTGCCATTACAGCTAAACTGTCACCCAAGCAATGATCGGTTGTTCTGATGACATCAACACAGCAGATTACATCTATCAACAGGAAGTAAAGAAAAGCAACAAACCAAAAGGCGTTTCATGGATGCAAGTGTATGGGAATAAATAATAGGATGTGGTATAAGATATCATTTGTCTGAAACATATGTAGCTTCTTCAACTTGACAAGTATGATAACATTTACAGACAACATGTCTAGCGAATTTTTGGTTGTCCAGATTCTAAAATTACTTGCCTAGATAAAAGATGTTATGAAGGTTATTTTCAAAGTCATTTGCCCATGCAATTATGCTAGCATCAATAGATATAAGCAATCTGTGAAGGACAAGGGAGTGTGTATAAAAGGCAAAATTTAAGTTTACAGTATTTGTATTGGATTGTTTAATAGTACTATCACCCTCTTTTTAACTATTATAATCTATATTATATATAAACTTTTGTCCATTTATACATTATAGGTGTTGTTGGTATTATTATTTCCTAGACTTCCTAGATAAATATGAAATATTACATAAAAATGGTAAATATACATTCACAGAAAAAAAGGCAAAACACACACACAAAAAAAGGAAAACCTTCAGACATTCTGTCCGGCCAGCTATAGGTAAGTAATATATATGAATGTATTTTAAAGTTGCTAATTACAAATAGATTTACAAGTATCCATTGATTCTGATTACTGTTATAGATCGAGGATGTATAGCTGATGTTCCCACAAAACAGATAAATGTAACAACAATTTTATGATTATATTTAATACAATTGGCAATTAATTATGCACAAGTGAATCTTAATCCTCTGATTAAAACTCAGCAGCCAATCTACAATAATATGGTACATAATATAGTGTTGTAAGTTATAGTTTTAATTTTGTAACTTTTCTGTTAACTAATGGGAGCTGTGGGACATGATGATGATGAGGCAAAGATTGAATGGTGTAATAATATGGGTCTAGAAAATTCTAAAGGCTTGACATCAAGTTTTTCTAGTACATTTGAAGGCAGATTATAGATACAAGATAATTGTGAAGATTGCAGAATTGTTTTAAGATTGAGAGTTGTTTCTAGCTGATACAGTGAATCGGTCATTGTGTTTTTAGTGAAGTATATGGATCTGTATTAGTTATTGTGAATACTGAGTTACTGTTAGTATAATACAGTGAGCATTGGTTTAAATGTGGCCTACAACCCTACAACTTTTCACAATATTCAAGCTTGTAAAAATTTTAAGGTAGAAATAAACTACATTGTTATCATTGACTGGACTGAGTTATTTTCATTAAATAATTTGAAAACACTTGCCAACAGAAGAGCCAAGTAATAACAAAATCCAAATAACAGCCTAAGTCAGAAAAGCTACCTATGAAAATACAGGGTCTTACAATTTTTCTTAATCAATTTTACCTTTGTTACACTGCTGTTGAACAGTGTAACAAAAATTAATATTGTACTCGTAAAACTTTGGGATCAGAACTAGCTGGTCTTAAATTAGAAAAAGGTCAGGAACCACTGCTTTTGAGGACTCGGGAGAGTGATTAGGTAGAGGATAAGTTCATAAATTTCATATCTTTAGTTGTAGCCTCTAGTATTCATAAGGTTGTTAAACCCATGGATGTTGCTGCTAAACATAAGTAGTTCAAGGCTTGTACATTGAAGCCAAGAGTCATGATTTAGTCCACATTCCAAAAGTTTCAATACTTAATTTGGAAATTGCCTCCTGATCTTATGTTCCTACAATGTGATGAGTTAGTTTTTTTTTTAACTATGTATGCTTCTTTGGTGGTATTTTTCTATCTACAATAATATGGTACATAATATAGTGTTGTAAGCTATAGTTTCAATGTTGTAACTTTTTTGTTAATTAGAGGGAGCTGTGGGTCATGATGATGATGCAAAGATTGACAAATATTATTGCAAGTATTAATAAGAAACAGACAATTGAGTTTTAAAGCACAAGTCTAACATAATAACAACTTTTAACTCTTTAAACCAATAATTTTTTGCACATTTTGATAGAATTATTTTCATGATATCCTAATCATTATCACCATAACCTTATAAAATTCCAATTTTCTAAATTTTGTTTTTCCCTTCAGCATCAGGGGTATCCACATGAAGCATTGTTTAGTAAATAGCCTCTAACCTCTCCCTGTTGAACATTTGCTGATAGAAGGGTGAGACTGATGGGTGGCAAAGTAGTCTTGAATGCTAATTCATTTGTTGATGCCCATTGATTGTCATCACAAGAAACTTCAGCAGCTCATAGTCAGTAGAGTCCAGTTCAAATACATCGACAGTCTCTGAGCAGGCATTTTCTGTGCAACTTGTGCTTTGGTGTATTCACTGAAAGCAGTGATGAGAGCATTACTTACATCTTCTGTAAACAAAGCTCTGAAACAGTCGAGGGGCGTTGAGTTATCATTAATGTCAGCTTGTATACCAGAATCATACCTGTTGTATGGCTGACCTATCTTGCAAATTTACCTCATCCCAATCATTTTCTCTGGCTCTCATAGTAGACATAGGTCTAAGAGGTGGATCAGGTCTAGCTAGCTAGAGCTCACTTCTGTGGCCTCTTTGTACCACTAGGTCCTGGTTGGGATCACGCCCCCCACTGATCAGCTGATTGAAAAGCACTGTAACTGGGTCTTGATGACTCTTGTGAGTCTCTTTCATCACTAGTCTCTTCCAAAGTCATATTCAAAATCAGAATCACCATCATCAACACTCCTTCCTTCTGATTGAACAGACTCATTGCTTGCTCAAGAGTAAAATGTTTTGGTGGCTTCTTCCTACTCACCATCTTTGTTTTATAATTGATGTAAACAAATTGTTAGACTTTACAAGAAAACACTGTAAAAAATTGGTCTCAAACACAACTTATTGATCTGAAATTTGTTTCCAAACAAACAATAATGCTTCAAAGAACTTCTGGTCTGTTTATAAAAAGTGGAAAATAATATAGTTTGGATTTGCTTTCAGCAAAAGAGACATAAACATTATCGGATGCTATTACCGTCCAATGGGTAAATTGGGATTTTCAGCCGGATGCTTGCAGCATCCGCTTGGGTTTAAGGCATTAATATATTATTTCTTATTTCTGTTTAAAGCAGGCCATACCAACAAGTTATGGAATTTATATGGCTGATCCCTTGACATAAACCATACAACTTAGATATATAACTTGGTCAAAGTCCATCACTGATTGATTCCTGCATCTGAATTTATAATGAATTACATATTTCAAAAGTTTCTAGTGTCTATGGCATTTATTACCATTCATTTCATCCATCCACATTTGTTTGGAAATATTAGTTAACTATAATTCAACAGCATTTTCTCAGACATACAAAAATAATACCATTTTGCAAGTATCATAAATATAACATTCCATGGTTATGAAGTACACAAAATATGTATTTTATTTTGGACTTAAATGCATCTGTATCATATAGATGTCTCATCAAATTGTAGTTAGCATATAAGAACTTTTTTTAAAAATCAAGAATTAGCCTTAGCCATAAATTTATCATTATCTTTTTAATTACAATATATAAAGGTATTGTTACGTCTCCGTTTGTTAATTAACTTTCCGTATCTACGTTCCGACGAAACTTTAGCGACACAAGTCTTACTTAATAAAACTGGTTTATTCTTTCCGAATATAACTTTACGATACACTTAATTTCAACAATTGTGCTAAAACAAACGCTATAACAACGAACGTGCTCAATAATACTCTCTGACTGCAGATCAATTACTCACTGTCTACACACACATTCTTGTTCTGTCACGTTGTCACCCTCTTTTATATACCAGACTACCCTATATCTAGTAAATGCTAGAGCATTCGCCAAGGTACAGGATAGTTCTAGAACGTGGCGTGATAATAGTCACGTGATCTCACTGATGCAACACTGTCCCCTCCTTGGTATTGTTCGTCCCGAACAATAGCCACATACAATAAACCAATAACAATTAACAATAACTTAATTAAATGTACAAAATTACAAACACAAAATTACAATTCAAC